CATTTGGATCACCCATAAGCATGAAATCTACTACTGTTAATAGCGGACAAGAAAGGAAAACAAAAAACTCGTTAGCCTTCACGTTGAGGTGTATTTTTCTCTTTTTTTGCAGTCCCACCACTACAGCTGGTATTCAGGTTCTTCAAGAAGTCTCCATGTCGCGCTACATTCCTCACCCTTTCCTTGTGGTGTCTGTCACTCTGACATCAGTGAGCACAGAGAATGGGATCACCCTGAAAATGCCACAGCAGGTACCGTTCCCTTGTCAGAGCTTTCTAGAGTTTCATCTCGGTTTCAAGGTGATACCAGCAACTATTTATTTGTTTAGCAAATAAATACTAAGTGTCTAACATGTCCTTCTATGGAGATACTGCGTTAGAGTGGCAAACTAAACAAACTGGGCTTTTGTTCAGACAATCCAGAAGTAATTGTGTACATAATTAATTACAGTTGTGATACACATACCAGAAAGTAGTATAGGTCACCCTGAGAGTATACAACAAAAACATGGAATAGTCTAGATAGAGATTTCTGTACCATTTAAATTGAAACCCAAAGGGTGAGTGGTAGTTCTCTAAGAGTAGGAATTTCAGGTCAGTGAGAAGAGTAGTGCAGAGGCCCACAGGTAGGAGAGAAGATTACACATTCAGGGAATTGGAAGAACTTCAGAGTGAGTGGACTTTATCTTAAAGTCTGGCTTTATTAGGAAGTCTATAAAGTATCTTAAGCTGGATATTATTAGATCTAAGCTTTGTAATGTTCAGTCTAACCGTAAGAAGGAGAATGAACCAGAGTGGGACAAAACTGGGTATAGGGAGAGGAGCTGAGAGGCCCTTTTAACGATCTAAGTGGAGGGTGCTAGTGACCCAAACTTGCCAGTGAAAAAGATGGAAAGAAGTGGAATGAACATAAAATACAAACGCTGCATGATTAGTCAACTGTAAGGAAAGAGAAAACATAATGCCTTAGTTTGTGATTAAACCGACATTTTAAACTTCCTATTTCAAGTTTCCTTCTTCTTAAAAACTTTTTTAATGTTTATTTATTTTTGGGAGAGAGAGAGAAAGTGCAAGCCAGGGGAGGGGCAGAGAAAGGGAGACACAGAATTAGAAGCAGACTCCAGGCTCTGAGCTGTCAGCACAGAGCCCAACGCAGGGCCTGAACTCACAAACTGTGAGATCATGACCTGAGCCGAAGTTGGACCCTTAACCAACTGAGCCACCCTGGTGCCCCCAATGTTCCTTCTGTTACACAAATGGTTTCCAAAGTTCATGTCAATGTGGAACTCATTTTCAAAGGAAAACTCTATGTAGATTTATTTGTCATCTCTGTCTTCTTAGTCTGTCTTTTATTTCCCATTAAGGCACTTCCATTCATCATCTTTAAAATCTAGATCCCATTTCCTTTGCAAACTATATTTCATGATAGCCAGAGAATCATAGTAATAAGGAAAAGTTCTATTTTACAGAATAATTGAAGCTGAAAGATGTGAAAGGAAGGTAAGAATTATACAATCACCATTTTGTAGCCCCTGTGGAAATAACTGATTTAGACAGTGATCAGGTGAAAGGTTGATGGGGTATTTCACAATGAGGAGATGAGGTGGCCATATCTAAGTCTTATTAATCCACGTTAGCATGACTACAAGTGGGAGAACCAGGTGTAGTATGCTTCCCCGGGGTGATGCAACATTAGTTCACATGAAGAATTCTACCTGAATTCTGAGCTAAGCTTCTAGAGTCAAGTTCCATTCATAGGAAATACAGGAATAGAGGTTTAGTTTATCACCACAAGGAAGCAGAATGTAGAACATTCTATAGGAATGTGGGGGAACAAAGTAAGGGGAGACTCTTCTAAAGAATTCTTTACAACTGTAACAATCAAATGTAGTGCTAAGTTCATTTGTATCCTGATTCAAACTGGCTATAAAAAGACACTATTGGGGCACCTGGGTGGCTAAGTTAAGGGTTCAACTTTGGCTCAGGTCATGATCTCATAGTTCATGGGTTCAAGCCCCGCGTCGGACTCTGTGCTGACAGCTCAGAGCATGGAGCCTGCTTTGGATTCTGTGTCTTCCTCTCTCTGCCCCTCCCCTGCTTGCTTGCACGCATGCTTTCTCTCACGCTTGTGCGTGCGTGCCCTCTCTCTCTCTCTCGCTCTCTCTTGCTCTCTCAAAAATAAACATTAAAAAATTTGTTTTAAAAAGACACTGTAAAGCAATTAGAGATACTAGATATCCACTCAGGTGACATTAAGGAATACCTGTAGATTTTATTAGATGTGGTGCTGGCATTATGATTATCTAGACAAATATCCAAGTACTTTGGAGATGCATAGTATAGGGGTAAAATAGCATATCTTCCTTTAAAATACTTTGGCATAATAAATGAAAAAAAAGGATGGATGGAGCAAATGTGGCAAATCTTGAATAACTGAATTTGGGTGATGGGAATCTTGGGGTTCGTTGTACTATTCTCTATACTTTTGATCACATTTGAAGTTTTCATATGAAGGAAGATAAAGGGACTCCTCGTAGTTCCCAGATACAGTATGCAGTCAGTGGCGCCAGCAATACTGGGTACCACATTTAAGAAGACGTTTCCAACAGACACATGAAAAGACGCTCAACATCATTCATCATCAGGAAATTACAGAACCACAGTGAGCCATCACCTCCCGCCTGTCAGAAGGGCTAAAACAAAAAACACAAGAAACAATGTGTGTTGACAAAGATGTAGAGAAAAGGGAACCTTCATGTGCTGTTGTTGGGAATGCAAACTGGTGCAGCCACTGTTAAAGACAGTACAGAGGTTCCTTAAAAAGTTAAAAATAGAACTACCCTATGGTCCAGTAATCACACTACTGGGTATTTACCCAAAAAAATACAAAAACACTAAGAGGAATATGTGTACCCCCATCTTTATTGCAGCATTATTTACAATAGCCAAACTGTGGAAGTATCCACTGTGATAGATGAATGGTAAAGAAGATGTGATATATACTATGGAATATTACTCAGCCATAAATGAAATCTTACCATTTGCAAAAACATGGATGGATCTAGAGAATATAATACTAAGTGAAATAAGTCAGGGAAAGACAAAAACCATTTGATTTCACTCATATGTGGAATTTAAGAAACAAAACAAATGAGCCAAGGAAAAAGAAACCAAGAAACACTCTTTTAAAAAAAAAATTTTTTTTTTAAATGTTTATTCATTTTTGAGCGACAGAGAAAGGCAGAGCATGAGCAGGGAAGGGGCAGAGGCAGGGAGACACAGAGTCTGAAGCAGGCTCCAGGCTCGGAGCTGTCAGCACAGAGCCCGACGCAGGGCCTGAACTCACAAACTGCGAGATCATGACCTGAGCCGAAGTTGGACGCACGACAGACTGAGCCACCTAGGCACCCCCCAAGAAGCAGACCCTTAACTGTAGAGAACAAACCTGATGGTCACCAGAAGGGAGATAGGTGGGGGATGGGTGAAATACACGACAGGGATTAAGGAGTGCACTTGTGATGAACACCTGGTGATGTATGGAAATGTTGAATTCGCTATACTGTACACCTGAAACTAATATAACACTATGTTAATTGGAATTTAAAAAGTTAACAAAGAGGGCCTTTCACAAAGGGAAGAGATCTAATGTGGTAAAGAGCAGATTAAGAAGTTGAAATGTAGTAGGAAATAGACTGATTACTCCTTGCACAGAGGGAAGACCAAGATTGCTACAGCAAGGCATGTCTTGATTCAATATTAAAGATTAAAGAAACCCCAACAACGAAAACTGTTTAAGAACAGTGAGATATGGCCTCCCTTATGAGAGGGGCTCCTTGTCTCTGAAGCTCCTAAGAAGAATCATCTGCCAGAGAGTTTTTAGGGTAAGGGATGGTATGTTTGATTCTTTCAAATTTGGCATTTGGGAGATACATGTAGTCCCTGCTTTTATGTTAAGTTTCTGAAAAGCTTATTAAAATTGCTTGAAAGTGCTGTTGCAGTCATCTGTTCTTACATATTGTAGTATAGAAAATGTTGAATGCATGGACGCGAATGAAGTTAAGAGAAATGGTTGCATTTGTTTCGTGAGGTAATGTAAACTGTAGTGACATTTGCCCATTTTAACACTCCACAATGGTCATTGTGAACATTAGTCATGTTGTGGTGAATTGCAGTAGGTCCTCCTAAGAAGTGTTACGGAGTTTCTGTGCCAGTCCCTGGGCCCACTGTTCTGATTCTTGGGACTGCATCTTCATTTTTCTTTGTCCTCTGCGGTCAAGCTCTTACAGTTGCCACGCATCTTTTAATTTCCATTTTTCCTTCTCCTACCTCCGTGTTATATGTTGTTTCTCATGTGTTATGGAAAGATAATCCAGTTTTTAGTTGTCATGTCTTTCTGTGCTAAATTGAGAACCACAACTTCTTTCCAAGTAAAGTTCTCAGTCTTTGTAGCACTTGTTTGGAGATACTGTCTTTTTTTTTTTTTTAATTTCTACTTTTTTGTAAATTAACAGCATTTCTTTTCTTTTAAGTGTTTTTTTATTTTTGAGAGAGAGAGCAGGGGAGGGGCAGGGAGAGAGAGGGAGACAGAATCTGAAGCAGGCTCCAGGCTCTGAGCTGTCAGCGGAACCCGATGTGGGGCTGGAACCCATGAATAGTGTAGCAAGATCATGACCTGAGCCGAAGTCGGATGCTTAATTGGCTGAACCAGTTGAATTATATGTCCCAATAACAGTTCTTATTACATTTATTTTCTATCTGGACACAGTCTGAAGAAAAAGTGAATGACAAAACCCATGAATCTCCTGGACTGTCTTGCCATTTCTTATACGCAGTCCCTGTAGTGTCGGAAAGCCAGTACAAAAGAGCGTTTGGAGTAACTGCTTTGCAATAGCATACGTAGGGTGTCTGTGCTGTTTTTCTGACTGGACCCTAAATAATAATGACAGCTTAAATTCATCCTGTCGGCAGGCCTCAAGCTGGGATGCAGTCCCACCCGTTCCTTCCTAAAATTCTTCCCTTCTCTGGTATGTGTCACGCTGTGCTCCTCTTGTCCCTTCTGGCCACCGGCCGCTTTCCAGTCCTGCGTCCTTTGCTTGAGGAAGCTCGTCCTCTCCCTTCCCTTCACCAGCTCACTGTGGTTCTGGTGTGCTGCTCTGAACTCCGTTCCTCTCTGACCACACTTTTACTTGCAAGTCTTCAGGTTCTTTCACGTTTATTTAACGAGCGATGAAATTAAACCGTTCAGTTTTCCCTTCCTTATTACCTTCTCCTTGTAACTTGTCAGTGGTACCTGGCACTTCCCCTAGGTGTGACAGCCTGAAATCTTCTTTGATTCAGTTCTCTCTTTTCCTGCCTTTCATATCTGTGGTGTCTGTGAGTTTTTGTTTTTTGTTTTTTTTTTGACGGGGGGTGGGGGGGAGGTTTGGTAAATCGAAATACTAAAATGCTCTTCCTCTTTACAAGTGAAAACATGTTGATATCTGAGATTTCGCTGTAAAACAATGCTTTTCAACCTTCAGCCAGGTGAGAGGGTTTTTAATGGGGAGTCCTACTTTAGGATTCGATTGAAATGTTCCATAATGAAAAGGCAGACTGTTTCATTCACTCCTGAAGTTAACACCCATGATGTCTGCCAGTACCTCAGAATTTTTTTACGTTTATTTTGAAAGAGGGAATGTGAGCAGGGGAGGGGCAGAGACAGAGGGAGAGAGCGAGAATCCCAAGCAGGCTCTGCACTGTCAGCACGGAACCTGACATAGGGCTTGAACCCACAAACTGTGAGATCATGACCTGAGTCGAAATCAAGAGTCATATGCTTTACCGACTGAGCCACCCAGGTGCCCCTGGATAATGGATAACTCAGAATTTTTAATAACTCTCTTACTTAAGAATCATAAGTAGTGGCTTATTTTCTGCCTTGTTTTTAAACCTGGCTTTCCAAGCCCTCCTTGAAGGTCTCTTTTATGTTTTTCCCATAATATTCCTAATCTAGTCAGATTGTTCTCATTTTCCCAAAAGAAATGTTCTGTCTCGGTGTCATTCACGTGATGTTCTTCATCTGGAGAACCAGCCCCTTCCCTTTCTCCCGGGTGTCCTCACCCTTCAAGCCCGTTTCCCCCTGTAAGCCTTCTGTGGCTGTGCCAGCGAGGTCACTGAAAGGTCTCTCACATTTATGAGCTTGTGAAATTCTCCTCATTTTATCAGGATAATTCAGCTCTGCCCTCAGTTTTACATTCATTTATACTGTTCCTGAATTGCAGTGTGGTCGGTTATACCCTGGCCAGAAAGCAGCCTGTTCTCCACATTGCCCAGCAGAACTGCTGTGCACGGTGCACACTCCGTAAACACTGTTGGTGGTTTCACCTGTAAACCGTATAGATTGGGGGGGGGGGGGTGGGGGATGTTGCAGACCTACGGATTAGCATGACTTCAGTTTTTCTTTCAGGCTCGCGATGCAGAGAGCATTATGCTAAATCTCGCAGGACAGCTCATCATGATGCAGAGGGACAGATCGGGGCCTCAGATCCGGGAGAAGGACAGTCACCCTAACCAAAGGAAGCTTGTGAGTAAAATAAAAGTCGTTTAGAACATTAAGGATGAAGGGATAAAATAACTTAAGAGGAGAGTATTGTCTTGTGACTTGGAAACTGGAAGACGTGTAATATCAGCCTTTAAGTTTCTAGGTAGAAGACTGTTTGCCAAGGGTAAATAAGAACGTTTTGCAACAATTATATGTTCCATGCTCCCAATGGTAATGCTTAGGCATTATTATTTGCTAATTCTAATGGGAAAGTAGGATAAATTGATGAAGAGTGTGGGGTCTTTGGGTTTTGTCTTGTTTTTAGATTTAAATACACATACTTTGAAAGGAAGGAAGGTACCCTCATTAACTCTCATTCTAAATAGAGTCCCCTAATTTTCCCAAAAGAAGTTGTGCGGTCATTTTGAAAGACTTCAGAAACTGGCACCTGGGAACTTCAGAATGTGCAGATTTAGTAGGAAGACGACTGATTCTGGTCTTTGCTTTTGCAGCTGCCATTCTGTCCTCCCGTTGTACTGGCCCAGTCCGTTGAAAATGTCTGGACCACGTGCCGAGCAAATAAACAAAAACGTCACCTTCTGGAGGCCCTGTGGCTGAGCTGTGGAGGTGCAGGGATGAAAGTTTGGCTCCCTCTCTTCCCCAGGGATCACCGCAAGCCCCATTCCTTCTTGTCCCAGCGGATCATGCTGCCTTTCCACATCAATATTTACCCCCTGGCTGTTCTGTTTGAAGACGCGTTAGTCCTTGGTGCTGTCAATGACACTTTGCTCTATGATGCTTTGTACACGCGGAACAGTGCTCGGGAACAGCTGGAGGTGCTCTTCCCTTACTGTGTCGTGGAGAGGACCTCCCAGATCTACCTCCACCACATTCTGCGTCAGCTGCTGGTCAGGAACCTTGGGGAGCAGGCCTTGCTCTTGGCCCAGTCCTGCGCTGCATTACCTTACTTCCCTCACGTGCTGGAGCTCATGCTCCACGAAGTGCTGGAGGAAGAAGCTACCTCACGGGAACCCATTCCCGACCCTCTGCTTCCCACTGTGGCAAAATTCATCACCGAGTTCCCCCTCTTCCTGCAGACGGTTGTTCATTGTGCCAGGAAGACTGAATATGCCCTGTGGAATTACCTTTTTGCAGCCGTTGGAAACCCCAAGGACTTGTTTGAGGAATGCTTGATGGCTCAGGACTTGGACACAGCTGCCTCTTACCTTATTATCTTACAGGTAACACTTCTCTTCTCATAAAGGTACAAGACTTAATGAGCTTAAACTCAGGAGAGAGAAAAAAGAAATATCCTGTGTCGACACTGTTTGTGTTAAAGGGACTGACACAGGCTGGTTCTCTGTTCATTTTACATCTTCTTTTTGAAGAACTTAACTTTCTCAAATGATGTCAGAAAACTTTTTTGAATTTTTTTTTAATGTTTTTATTTTAGTTTTGAGAGACAGCGGCGCGAGCAGAGGAGGGGCAGAGAGAGAGGGAGACGTGGAATCTGAAGCAGGCACCAGGCTCCGAGCTGTTGGCACAGAGCCTGATGCAGAGCTCAAACTCACAGACTGTGAGGTCATGACCTGAGCCAAAGTCAGACACTTAACCAACTGAGCCACCCAGGTGCCCCAGAAAACTTTTTTGAATGTCATGAAGTAATGCTTCAAGGATTTTTTTTTAAGTTTCTTTATTTTGAGAGAGTGCAGGCAGAGGTGGGGCAGAGAGAGAGGGAGAGAGAGAATCCCAAGCTGGATCTGTGCTGCCAGCACAGAGCCCCATTCGGAGCTTGAACCCACAAATTGTGAGATCACGACCTGAGCCGAAAGCAAGAGCCGGATGCTTAACCAACTGAGCCACCCAGGTGCCCCTGCAAGATTTTTTAAAAATCCTATTTGTCCATAAGTAGGACTGAAACCGATTGAGTTTATGGTATTGTTTTGAATAATATTGTATATTATTATATAGACAATGTAGTAGTATATACTACATATATATAGTATGATACATACAACAACATCTGTTACATAGGAAACGTAATAATAAAGAGTTATCTTTAATATTAGCAGGTTTGGGGCGCCTGGGTGGCTCAGTCGGTTGGGCGGCCGACACTTCGGCTCAGGTCATGATCTCGAGGTCCGTGAGTTCGAGCCCCGCGTCGGGCTCTGTGCTGACAGCTCAGAGCCTGGAGCCTGTTTCAGATTCTGTGTCTCCCTCTCTCTGACCCTCCCCCGTTCATGCTCTGTCTCTCTCTGTCTCAAAAATAAATAAACGTTAAAAAAAAATTAAAAAAAAAAAAAATAATATTAACAGGTTTGGGCTAGTATCGGCTAATTGGAGTTCTTTGAGCCTCCTGCAGGCTCATCGTGTTTCCTCACGTGCGGAATTGCCGAGCGGGACTGTGGCTGCAATGTGGGTCCTGGCAGAGCACCTGTGCTGGGCTCCCCAGAGCAAGCTGAGAAGACTCGGGCCGGCCACAGTAATTACCCTCGCAGCACACGGTTCTTCTCAAATGAAGGACTTCTTTGAGACTCCTGAAAATTGGTTCCACTATGTGTTTGACAAAAGGGCTTCGCAGTTGTTGTTCTTATCAGTGTCATACGCATTTGACAGGCTGCACTTTCATCGATCTGAGAAGCTGATCATAAACTTGTTTTAAACTCTGCCTGGAGCACATTTCTTGTGTGCTTATTTACTTCACGAGCACTGATCGGAACCAGAGGAAACAGTCCAGCGGAAGCTGGATGGCCCTTAAATTCTGTGATTCCTTGGCTAGCCTAAAAAAAGCCACAGAATGTTAAAAAGAGAAACAAAATAGATGCAGCTGTTTTTTGTTTTAGGTCGCCCCTTAGACTTTCAGTGACCTCCCGAACAATGGAATTGGAAACGTTTTCTCTCCCAGTTCTGTCATTTTTGTGGGTTGTCAGATAATAATTACAGTCAGATTAGCCTTTCCCTGAAGGCCAAGGTAGGCGGTGAGGTTACACCTGTGGAAGAATCACTGAGGCCCACTGTGCAGCAGAACTGCAGACTGTTGCCCAGAGCCACGAGCACTTTTGTCACAGCCTCCACAAGCTGCCACGAGAGGTGGACCTGAGCTTTCTGGAGTCAGGCAAACCCAGATTTGTGTTGTTGCTTTTCGGCTGGTCGTTAAGTTCCTAAACCCTGTTTCCTCATCCGTAAGAGGGGAATGGTGTAAGTACTTTGCGGAGTCGGTAGGAACCAGGGAAGAGAGGATGCGGGTCAGGTTTATGGGAGGTATCTGGAATACAGCGGGAGTTTAGAACATCATATTTATAGCACACCAGCCGAGAGCTTGCCTCGCTTTTCCCTGCATCGTCCTTTATATTGGTCCCTTTCTTGTTACTGTTAAACATTCCCCTACAGCATTGTGGCTGCATTCCTTCTCTGGTTCAGAAACGGCGGAGATGAAGAGTTGCTCACACTTCCCAAATAATTTGCCGTACAAAAGGAATGCTTGTCTTTGGTTGTTTTTGTAGAATATGGAAGTTCCGGCAGTAAGTAGGCAACATGCTACCCTTCTGTTCAACACAGCCCTGGAACAAGGCAAGTGGGACCTATGTCGACACATGATTCGATTCCTTAAAGCCATTGGCTCTGGAGAATCTGAGACCCCTCCATCCACACCTACAGCTCAGGTCGGTTGCAGAATTGCACAGCTTCTCTAGACCACACACCTCCATGGCACCTTTCTCTAACTGCACTGCACATCGTGTATGATCACAGGAACCCAGTTCAAGTGGTGGATTTGAGTTCTTCAGGAATCGAAGCATCAGTTTGTCCCAGTCAGCTGAGAATGTTCCTGCTAGTAAATTCAGCTTACAGAAAACACTGAGTATGCCATCCGGCCCTTCTGGGAAAAGGTAAAAGAATAATGAGCTGTCACTGCTGTTAGGGCATTCTGTGGCACATTGCATTTCAGGGCGTTTGTAAATTGGATCTTATGAAAACAACCATTTGATCCAAATGCAGTTCCTTCTTCCATTTGTGAAAGGCTTGAAGACCACACAGAAGGCCTCCCTTCTTCCTTCCGCCGTATTTCACTTCATTACTTTCTGTACAGTTTCTGTTCCTTGTCCTAGAGGAGGTCCTGTGTCCCCATTCTGAATGCAGGCAACTTTCAATTACCCTGATAATAGAGGACCAGAATAAAAAGGAAGGTAATTAAATCTGCACATAGTCAGAAAGCCTTCTTACAGTCAATACTTTTACCTTTCTTTCCAACTGTACCTCATGCTGAAAAAATAAAAATTTAGTCCCAACTTACTTGACTCTCCTGTGACTCTTTTGATTGGAGAAGTCATTAAACAGTGGGAGAGCCAAGGGGAAGTGTATCCTGAAGACGGAAACCTACATCACACAGAGATGGGTTACTGTCTCCTGAGAGGTAACTGTGAACTCACCCTGAACGTTATAAAATAGAATTTCCTCTGGTTTGTGAGGAGGTGCCTGTGTTCCTTCCTCTGTTGTTCCACATTCTCGGCTCTTTTCTCTTCCCTAGTCTTTTCTTTTATATTGTTTTTATGGTTACTACAGTGCCTGACACGTAGTGAGAACTGGCTGAACATTTTTTATCATGATATTTTACTACTTTTTCCTATCACGGCCATTTATGCCACCCTTACTCCCAACATATACACACACAGTCATGGGCTATGTCCAAGTAAAATGCAACCACAGGATACTCTAAACAGTTGCCAGGTGAACAGCAGCTTCTCAGCCATACCCTGAACATAATTACTGGCTAATACATATTAAGTGCTCAGTATGTGCCTGGTTCTAAGCATTTACGTGCGTATGTCTTTTCATCCTTACAACCTGTAAGGGTGGATGGACACTGTTGCTAACACACGTTGTAGAGGTGAAGAAACAGAGGCCCAGACTGTAAACTTGGTTATGTTCACACAACTAACTGAGAGGTAGAGCCCAGATCTGAGTCTAGAGTCTTCCAGTGCTGCCTCTCATGAAGATACCACATTACCCAGTTACCAAACCGATCATCCCACATCAGCCCATGTGAGTAGAACTGCATACAGCCAAGCTGCAAAGTTTTAAACATCGGTTGTATGTTTATGTGTCTGCTTATCTCCCATTCCCCTGGAGAGACTTCATGGCGCCTTGCGTCTCCTCAGTTTCTTTGGTCTGATCTACTTGCCTCTTTTCATTGGTCTCTTCGACTACAGCATTATTTGCTCTCTTTCTTTCCTTCAACCAGTCACCACCCTCCTCCTGGTTTGGCTGTGTCTGTCTCCTCTTTTTCCTATTCCATACTTCATTCTACAAGTATGTTTTAAAAGTCTGCTGTGTTCCACGTACGTTTGGCAGCTTGTATCACGTGGAGGAAAGCCGTGGTCCTTTATCCTCAGTCAGTCACTTAGATCTGGATCCCTTCCCTCCCTCTCCGCATGATCGTTCCTACCGCATAGAACTACGCGGAGCCCTCCAGGGACGGTTTTTCTGCAGGTTTCTCGTCTTCCCACTTACAGATGGAGCAAAGACAGTGACTGTGCTGAGAACATGTACATTGATATGATGCTCTGGAGACATGCCCGGCGTCTCTTAGAAGAAGTTCGGCTGAAGGACCTCGGCTGCTTTGCAGCCCAGCTGGGCTTTGAACTCATCAGTTGGCTGTGCAAGGAGCGCACCCGAGCCGCGCGGGTGGACAACTTTGTGCTGGCCCTGAAGAGACTCCACAAAGACTTCCTGTGGCCACTTCCCATCACCCCAGCCTCTTCTGTCAGCTCTCCTTTCAAGAATGGAAAATACCGAACAGGTAACGCAAGCTCGTGTCACTTGGACAAGAGTTGTATTTCACTGCAAGTATTTGGACATTTTGTTTAGTCGATATTCTCGGAAGTCTTTTCATTCCTAAACTCAGGAACAGATAAAACCAACTTCTTGCACATCATTGGAACATCCACCATTTGACCAGGGATGTAAATAAAGTAGAACTAGGTCTCTAAGTCTTGTGACCTTGAAGTTTAATTTGTAAATCCAGCCACTGTTAACAGATTATCAACAAGTTGAAAACTGGCTGAATATAACTGCTACCACACTTACCTTATTGTGGGAAGTTCTGGAATGGGTTAGTCACGGACCTGAAAAGCCGAATTGTGATTTATCTGGTAGGACGTTCCAGAGAAGTGGTAAAAATGCATCTTTGAGGACTTGGGCTGTTGTCTAATCTAGGGGAAGACAAAGTGGAACTGTTTTGTTGAAAGAAAAATTAAAAGATAATGTATGTTTATTTTTGAGGGAGGGAGAGAAGAAAAAGTGCGTGTGCACACGCGCGAGTTGGGGAGGGGCAGAGAGAGACAAGGAGACACAGAATCTGAAGCAGGCTCTAGGCTTTGAGCTGTGAGCACAGAGCCTGAGGTGGGGCTCGAAATCCCGAACTGCGAGATCATGACCTGAGCCGAAGTCAGATGCTTAACTGACTGAGCCACCCAGGTGCCCCCCCCTTTTTTTAATTTTTATTTTATTTTTTTACTGTTTTATTTATTTTTGAGAGAGTGAGTGAGTGCAAGCAGGGGAGGGGCAGAGAGAGAGAGAGAGAGAGAGAGAGAGACCCATAATCTGAAGCAGGAGTTCAGGTCTTTTAAAGAAAACTGTTCTAAATCATTATTACTCATGAAAATCCAAACAAAAACCTTTTATTAAGGCATTTGGAAACTTCATCTCATTTTAAGAACCAAGGAAAATCACTTAAAAGATGAACAGAATAAATCCTGTTTAGTGCTGGTAAGAGCCGCAGTGAGGGAGACTGTCAGACGGCATTACCTAGTCAATCTGTCCCTTTGGTCCCCGTCCCAGGTTCGTGGGGGTGATGAGTGTAGGACAGTAATTAGCTTTGACCTTTCAGTGTTTGGGAGTAGGGGGGAGGAGAAGCTGAAATAACTGAATTGGAAATGTTACTGCGTGCATCTCGAATTGCCACTTTCTCGTTTTGGGGCCTGCCTTGCGGCAGGAGAGCAGCTGCTGAAGTCTCAGTCAGCGGACCCTTTTCTAAACCTCGAGATGGACGCTGGGGTCTCTACTGTACAGCGAAGTCAGAGCTGGCTCGGCAGCATCGGCCCCGCCCACCATGAGATAGACACGGCCTCATCCCATGGACCACAAATGCAAGACGCCTTCCTGTCACCTTTATCTACTAAAGGTACATGTCATTTTAAGTCTCAGCTCTTCACTTTCCTGGGAAGGTTTTTGTGCTTTAGGGCCCCAAATAGAGCCTTACTCCTTCATTATAGGTCCTTGAGGGTCAGTCACGAGAATCTGCTAGAGAGGGGATAGTTACTAGAACAAGGCCCCCTGGCCTTAACTATCCTTTGCTGTATTTTAGATGGATGACGCAGGTAAACTGTCATTCCAGGTTACCGCTGATAACATGAAACTTGGCACTTCATTTTGATGAAACAAACACTAAGCTTGAACTTGAAGTAAGCAGACTGTTGCGCTCATGTAAGGAATACCATTCTTGTCATAAGTAGCCATGGGTCATACAGAATTGTAGTCCGTTATCTTCTAATTTTTATTTTACTGATAAAATTTGTGGAAATTTTCTTGTTCTCTTGTGAGTGTTAATGTAATAGCGTTAATTTTTCCTCCTAGTCTTCAGAGCCTAATAATCTGGCCCTTCACCAGAAGCTGAGTGCGGGCATCCATACTGGGGGGGTCGAAAGTTGAAGAAGTTTTAAAATGACTCATGTTGTTGGGTTTAGAGTTACAGGGGTGTGTGAGTAGGAGGTGGTCTGAGTGTTGGCGGTTTTCTTAATGGCCAAGCATTTGCCCGGTGTTTGATTTTCAGTCCGTCCTCACTGTTTCATGAACCTGCTTTTGTGGAGAAGCTTGTGGCTGCCGTTCCTTTTGTTTAAATTGTGGAAGATACACACAGTATGTTCCGTCTCCACCGTTTTCATGTGTAAACTTCAGTAGCGTCGGGTACATTCACATGGTTGTGCAGCCAACCTCCAGAGCTCGCTCGCTCTTCCCGGCTAACATGCGTCCCCAGTGACCCCTCCCCGGTGCTGGCAGCGACCACTGTGGTGTCTCTAGGAATCTGACTACTTTAGATGCCTCTTGTGAGTGGAATCGTACGGTTTCTGTCTTTCTGTGACTCGGGCTTAGTGCACTTTGTCTGACATTCTGAGTTCACCCCTGTGGCAGCGTGTGTAGACCACCACACCCTGTTTATCCATCCATCTACCCTGTGCTGGGCACGGGGCTGCTCTGACTTCATGGTTCCTGTGAACAAGGCCGCAGCGGACGTTGAGCGTGCACTGGCTCTTCAAGATACGGCTCTCAGTTCTTCTGGGCCAGAGTGGGGTGCCAGGTCACAGGGTTACTACTCTTGAGCTTTTGAGCAACTGTCGACCCGCCAGCATTGACAAAGCATTCCAATTTTTTTGTCTACCAATGCTTGCTTGCTTGCTTGCTTGCTTTTTTAAAGCATTCCAGTTTCTTGACATCCTTGCCAACGATTTTATTTTCTGGGCCTTTTTTTAAAATGGGGACATGAGGTAGTGTCACTGCTTTTTTAAGAAAAGTTTTTAAAGAGATCATTTCAAATTTAAAAATTAGAGATAATAGTATAATGGAACCTTTGCCTCCCCACTGCCATGTGTCTGTTACCCAGCTTCTGTTATTAATTCATGACCAGATTTGTTTGAGCCACTTTCCCTTTCCTGTATTATTGAACCAAATCCAAGACGTGCCATTTTTTATCTTTGAATATTTCAGTATGTACCTTTAAAAGGAATCTTTTTTTTTTTTTTTCAACGTTTATTTTATTTTTGGGACAGAGAGAGGCAGAGCATGAACGGGGGAGGAGCAGAGAGAGAGGGAGACACAGAATCGGAAACAGGCTCCAGGCTCTGAGCCATCAGCCCAGAGCCCGACGCGGGGCTCGAACTCACGGACCGCGAGATCGTGACCTGGCTGAAGTCGGACGCTTAACCGACTGCGCCACCCAGGCGCCCCTAAAAGGAATCTTTAAAAAAACAAACCCATAATGCCATTATCATTCCTCTTACAATTTAACAGTAATTCCTTAAAACCATCAAATGTCCAGTAAGTATTTAAATTCCAGTTGTTTCCTAATGTCATAAATATTTTTACAGTTAGGACCAAGATCCAGGTGAGAGGGTCAGACATTGTGATTAAGTTTTCAGCTCTTTAAAAACTGATTCTTCTCTCCCCATCCTTTTTTTTTTTAACCCCTTTGCAGTATTTTCATTGATGAAACTTGCTTCTGTGGATTTTCTCAAAATGTGGACTTTGGTGATTGCTTCTTCATTGCTCGACCCTCTCCTCTGTATTTTTTTTGTAAATTAATAATTGTATCTAAAGACTGATCAGATTCTGGCTCGATTGGTTTTGGAGGCAGGCAAGACTGCTTCACAGGTGGCGGTTGTGTTTCTCTGTGCCTGGGTCGCTCTCTAATGAGTTGTTTTTTTTTTTTGTCAATTAATCTTTTTTTTTTTTTTTTTTTTTT